ATTAGTAAACTCTAAGGTCCTGCAAAAAACGTTAGAGGGAAAACACAAAGGTCCTGGGTGGTGTTCAACCAGTGAACCAAAAGTCAGAAGTTCTGTATTACACTAAAACAGTGAGCAAACATCAGCAGTTCAGCATGTGAAAATCAGAAACTCTGTGTTTAAAAACAGCTGATGGAAACATCAGAAGTTCAGTGTATTTGACATGTGAGGGGAACTCAGAAGTTTTGTGCTGTATTTCAACTCTCAGTCAGCACATCAGCAATTTATTCAGTTCTTTTTTAAACAGCAAATCAGAATGATAACAGCACAACAATCCATAGAAGTTCTGATCTTAAGTCTGGGCCTAGCATTATTTTAGAAGTTCTGATCCATAGTTTTTCTATTCATGCAATGATATGTACAACGTTAATACTATGATATTTACATGTTAATGATGTTCAGAACGAAAAAACAAGCAAAGTCAGTAAGACTTACCTTGAACCTGGAGCGTGCTTGGAGCTTTGAGTGGTTGCCTTTGGATGTTCTGGAATCAGCAAGAGAAACAGAAGAGTGGTTGTGTTTTTTGGTTCAAAGGAAAAACCAAGTTTTTTTTTGTGTATGAGAAATCTGGATTTTTATGAAGGTTTCACAATTTCCTTTTCTCTCTTTTGGCTAATCTCTCTCTTCAAAAGCCAACCTCCAGCCCCCTTCTCAGTGACCAATGATGTTCTATTTATAGGCAAAGGTTTTGTGGGTTTGAAATGTCAAGTAGCGCCAACATCATACACTAGATGCTGACTTGTTCTTGAAGCAAGTTCAACAAAGGTTTGATAGTTGACGGTTTTTTTAGCCTAGACTGGATTAGCAAGCAGGGATTAAGGAAAAGTAACCCTACAAGCAAAAAGTAGCGCATGGACCCTCACATATTTCTGTACAAAAGTATTTCTATGCTACACGTGGAGAGATCCTTGGGATAAAGACTCAAAAGTGATTGTGAGCATTAATGAGCATTAAATGATGATGAGATTTGTAAAAATAAAAAATCTTATAATGTGAGATTTTGCATCATTGCTTAATTCTGGATCAGAAGTTCCATTTCAACGTAGTCTAGAACAAAACACCCACCTTATGATCTTAACATCCTGTTGCCTCAGCATGCTCTGAAGGATCCCTCAGATTTTCCAGTAACCTTCTTTGATTTACCTTGGAAAACTCTGGATTAGAAGTTCTGCTTCAGCGCAGCATCCAATCTTCTGATCTTCTGATCTTCTGGCTCCAGCACGTTCTGAAAGAGCTTTCAGACTTCCTAGAAATCTTTGTGTCACGCTTGATGACCTTCTTTGATTTACCCTTAACTCTGACTGAAGCTTTGTGAAAACTTTCCCAGAAGTTATGACCAAACTATGCCTTGAGAGTGTCCAAAATTTGCTGAGTGTTGTGGTGATAATATGGTCAGAAGTTCTGAAATAGTCATTTTTCTTAAATACTTAGATAAATCCCAAGTATTTAGAAATTTGGTTTTTCCATAGTAAATTTGACTTTTGAATTTCTTGATGAAACAAAACTTCATATTCCAACATGTCTTGATGAAATATGATTTTTGAGATTTGATCTTGATCCAAAAGTCAAAGTTTGACTTCTCAGTGTGTAAATGACCATCTTGCCCTTGTGAATGGTTTGCTTGGAAAAATTGATAATTCAAAGCTTGAAATTTGATGAAAGTGAGCTTGAGAATCCAGGGTGATTCTTAGAGAAAAAGAGAGGGAAAATTTTAGGGTACAACATATGCATGTAATGATTGATTGATGTATGTAATGAATGACTTGGATATGTGTAAATGGATGTTAGACTTTGAAATGCGAATGTGTAGTTGGGCTTTTTGAGATATGTTCGACCCATGTTGTCGAACTTCGTCTGACGGATGAGATGATAAGTATAGCTAGATTCTGGATCGAAGAGCCCTAATGCATGATTTGTATGGACCGATTTTTATGAAACATTTTTTTTCGATCCATCAGGATGCCCTAAGTTTTGCCTAAGTCAAATTTTTTTATATTTTCTTTTTGACTTAGCGGGCTTTCTCCTTTTTTTAAAATTTCTTTTTTTTTTGCTTTTCATTTTGAAAATTTGTGACTATCATGCTGATTGTTGTAAGCTTCTTTTTCACCGTTTCCTCGATCTTAATTTATGTACTGAGGAAGAAGATGTTGTGGACTTTGTCTTTGTTGATTCCTCAATCTTGGATGATGAAAGCGGGGAAGATGATGTGCACAAATCTTTGCTTAGATCGTTCTCTCAATGATGTATCGAGAAAAGAGATATGCTTGAACCTTTGCTTAGATCGTTTCGATTCTCCTGGGATTCGAATGCATCATCGTATTAATTGAAATCTGCACTGCCCCTGGTTAAGATTAAAGGTTTTTTTTTAGAAAAATAGAAAGAACTCCAACTTCTGGCTCGAGGGGGTTAACTATAGATTAACTCCTTATATCTCCATTGTTTAAGAATTGAAACAATGTCTTACATCATCAGCTAAGCCCTACTATTAAAAAACATACGTCAGTAAAATTTGTTTATTTTGTATTTTCATCATTCTCCATCAAAGTTTGTTAAAGTTATGAAATAAGATATAAAATAATAATAGAAATTCGTTTATTACTTGTGGAATGGATCGATTTTAAGAACATGCATGATTATTTTATTAGAATTACTGATCCAAAGGTACAAATTTATGGCAAATGAAAACTAATAACTAGGAAATTACAAATCGAAATGATAAAGGCCTAATGATCTAGAGATAAGCCCCCTTGTTAATCCACTGACTTCAGGGAATTCTTTTTAGTCTCTAGATTTGTCAAAGCAAAGGGCGACCATTCACCAATGGGATCCCTTCTTCAAAAGTCAATTGTTTGTTGACGATCAAATCATTGACCTTGTGTCTAAAACCCCCAACATCTTTCAAGGGTATGTCCTGGAGAGTTGGCATGATACTCACACATGGCATTTACATCATACTTAGGTGAGAATGTCCCATTTGGAGGATTCAGTGACCTCTGCTCTACCAAAGATACCTTGAGTAAATGTTATAGTAGCTTGAGTGTGCAAAAACATTTTTGGCTTTTAGGCATGCAAAAAGTTTCATGGATGTGCAATGCGATATAGACATAGTATAAGAGTGGATGCAGGGGTAACCTATATAAGTTTAATGATAGCCATGATGATATCCTACAGTGACTCAGAGGTTGGGACAGGCAGGGATTCATTACGGACGAAGATAATAATAGACATGGATTTGATGATATCGTATATTATCTCAGAAATTGAGACAGGCATGAATCCCTTAAGGATTGTAGCCAATGAAAGATGACGAGGAATCCCTACAGGCTAGGGATTATGACATAGACGGAAGCCCTACGGGATAAATATAGTAGTGGATGAAGGGATAACTCTTACGGGTTTATAGATTGTAATGGGATTTGTGAAAGGTATCCTTAGAAGGTAGGTTCTTAGTTTTGGCCTACGGATAATTTACCCTCCCCATAAGGTGGTTTCCTTAAGGGTATCATGAATAACAATAGAGGGAAAGGCACAAGTGTCTGCCTTAAGAGGAGCCTCTTTACAGACCGAAACTTTCGTCTCTAGGTCATGAAAAGGTTTCATCATGAAGTTTTTGTTTAAAGACCTTACAAAGAGTCATAAGTATCATTCCAAAGTCCTACTTCTCAAGAGGAAGTCTCTTGAGAGGTATTCCTTTTGTGGAATTCCACCGACTCTAGGCGAAGTCGTCACATAAACTCATAGGGCTGATGTAACCCCTTGGTTAATAGACGAACCTTCTTTCTAAGGGTTTTTGAAAATATTTTTTGCAAAATTTTAAATTCCACCACAGATATAATAATATAATGAATAATAAAAAGAAGCAGAAAATAAATAAATAATTAAATAAGCAAGAAATAGAAATACAATAAACAAGAAAACCCTAAAACCAAAAGACGAGGCTTTTAAACCTAGGGTTGAGTCCCTAGCAAAGTCGCCAGCTAATGTAATTGGTTATAAATTTTTGAGTCATCACCCTTAATGTTTATCCTAAGGAAGGGAATATAAAGGATAACCCTAAAATTTAGAGATTCTAGGTTTTTGGACTCGGTTCTAGATGAGGGAAGGTGTTAGGCACCCCTCATCTACCTTGTTCACAAGGATACTGGGGTTAGAAACGCGGTTTTTAGGAAATAGGGTTTTAATTTTTTATTAGGGGAGCTCGCCAAGATTTTAATCGTATCCCTACGTATCCTCTAAGGAGGAACTAGAGTCTCAATTCGTAGTTCGCAGTTGGTTTGTATTTTTATCGATAACGAAGATATTTGAATTTCTCGCATACTTAGTCTAGGTGTGTGAATAACAGAGATACTTAGACAAAGCGCGCAGTTAATTAAAATGTGCTTCCTAATCCTTTTCGAAGATTGTTTATTGAATTAATTTATTTATGAAAACTGTTTATGGTTGGTTGAAATATTTTTGTAGAGTTTTAATTGTAGAAAATATCTTATTTAAATGCATGGTTAAAAGATAATTTAATGCAAATAAAATAAATGATATTTTTTATGGGTTGGAAAATAATATATTGGATTTATATAATAAAAATATTAAAATTATAAATATATAAAGATAGAAAAAATAATAAAATAGTAAAATAAAAGGAAAATAATTTAAAGACGTGGGGGTGTAAATCATGCTAAGGTGGTAAAAATGGGGGGTGTTAGCAACAAGGGCCTGAATTCAGATATTGAATTCAGGCCTAAAAGGCAAATAGGGTGTAAGTTTGAGATACGTAGTAAAAATGGAGGTGTATAAGGAATAGGGTCCAAGTCCAAACTTTGGACTTGGCCCATTTTGCCTGGGGGGTATACTTTCGAGCGTGTTAGTAAAAAAACAAAAGCGTGTGCAATCAATAAATGGGCTCAGCCCAATGCAAGTTTTGGGAGTCTGTTTAGGTTGCATGTGGTCACGCGCAGGGAATTGTCATGGACACGCGCATTACGGAATGCGTGATTGAAATCATACGGTTACAAGGGGAGGAGCACGGTAAGGGTCAAGGGAGCGCGCATACGGGATTTTGTGGCAACATTATATTTCCATTTAATCAAAACAATTTTTTTATGTTATTATCCTCTTCTCTCTCCGTGTCTCAAACTCATTTCCTCTTTTCTTTCTTAACAACCCCCAAATAGTATTCAAACCCTAGATCTTACTGGCGGCAGCACTACCTCTCTCTTTGTCTCATTTCCTTTCTCTCTCTCCTCACCATACAAAACAAAGCCCTAGCATGCTACTTCTGGCGGCGGCGCTATTTCTCTGTCTCCGATACAACAACAATCCCTAAACCCAAAACTTAGAACCCCAACAATATTGATCAGAGCGTCTATTTCCAACCCAAGCTTTTTCATCTCTCTTCTTCGTTTTTTTACAGGTACCGCGGATGAGGGTTTGACAGAGCGTGACAGAGATTGGGCCGGCGGTGGACCAACTAGGGTTTTAGATATTGAAACCCTAGGCGGCGGTCAACGGCGAGGCTTCTCTCTGTCTTTCTTCTTTACTGTATTTTTTCTTTTTTGTAATAATCTCCTCTTCTGTCAATTTTTTCCTTTCGTCTGTAAATTTTTTCCGCCCCCCACCCTTGTTCCGTTTCTGATTCTTAGGTTTTATAGAAATTTATGGTATATATTTTTAGGAAATAATTTAATGTTTGTCGTTATTTTGGATTGTTTTAGGGAAATTAGAAATTAATACTGATTTTGTTGTAATTTGGTTTTATTTGTATTGATTAAGTTTCCGAATTCTGTATATTTGTTCTTGATTTCGATAGTAAAGAATCCGGATAATCAATGTACATAACAATTTTGTTTTGTTTGATTCGAACAGTAACAGTTTATTCCTTTTAAAACATGTGTTTTTATTATTCACTTTCAATGATTCAAACAATGTTTGTTTGTTTTGGGACTGTGTGGTTGCTTCTAATTTGAATTGAGCCTGCCTGTTAGCTTTGGGCTTGGAAATAGGTCGTGAGAAAAGAAACTATTTGTTAATATCTTCAAATATCATCTTAATATAGTGAAGTTTAATAATAATTTAAATAATGTGATACTTAGTACAAAATAGTCCTTAAAACAAATCAGAAAAATGGACGGGCAAAATGTCTTTTTGTTTTAGGCTTGCAATGTTTTATTCTTGAAACAAGTATTTTCCTTCCTATTCTAGACCGTAAGCAATGGGCCACGTGAAATTAAAAAAAAAAGCCTTTTTTTAAATCTGGCTTTATTAGTTCACATTTTATTTGATAAAACAAAAAGTTTTTTTTAAATTAAATTTACAAAAAAAAAAAGAAAAAATTGATGACTTAATTATAAAAATATTAGTATAATTAATAATAATAAAAATAATTGTGATATTGATGATAATAATAATAAAACAAAATAATTCTCAAAACAACAAAAACTGAACGGGCCTCAATGTAGTTGGGCCTTAACAAAAACGAATTGTTCACACTCCTTGATTAAAATAATACACCTTCCATTTTGCCTTAAAATGGACATTTAAAACACTTAATGGGCCATCAGATATTGATGGTCCATTTTAGATAACCACACCCCTCTTCCATGTTTTACTCCCCCATAGAAATAAAAATTATATAATATGATTTATTTAATTAGAACCCTAAATATATTATAAGGCTAGGGAAAATTTGGGGTATGACACTGCTATGTATTTTAATCATGATTTTCCTTCAGTGGTATCAAAGTCAGTTACAAAATTATGAGTCAATAGTTGTCTATTTTTTGTACCTTTTATTTTGATTCGATTAAACATACTGAATGAATTAAATTATAATAGAGAAATTAAATATTGGCATCATGATTTATAAAACTTGGGTTTTCGATGTTAACTATGCTTTGTGACCGACTTTTTTATGGTGAAGTAGCAATACTTTAATCATCCATAGTGATATAAATATGTTGATTGATTTATACACTACATAAATAACTCTGGTGCAACATCAGTGTATTTGATCTATATTTATATTTCCTCTATTCGATTAGTATAATGATTTTTATTCATATGAATGTCAATGTTGATCATGCTTCATGACCAACATTTGTATGGTGAAGTAGTGACATTTCGATCAGTCATATTAAATAATCAATCATCATGATTTTGATGGTATGAATATGTAGAAAGAGACCTATATTTATAGGCTAGAGATTGGCATAAAAAGGGAATTATTTTAAGGCATTTTATGACTTGCCAATCGATTGATATTTATTGCCAATCGATTGGTTATCCTAATTTAATCGATTATCAAGTTCAAAAAGGAAAGAAGGATATTTAGTTGTTAGACATGATTAATGAGTTGTCTTAATCGCTTAGAGTGCAACTTTGAGCTAAGTCAATCGATTGGCAGAGACAAAACTTTTTCCAGAGCTATTTTGATAGCTCCCAACTCATCTGGCACGACTTCAAGTTGTATTTCAAAATGTTTTCTTGAGAAAAAAAGTTTGAAAAGAAATTTATTTGTGTGTGTGTAATTTAGCCACGTACTTTTACGAGAATGTCCTTATACTTTATAATATGTTCACGCAGACGTATCAAGGCAAGGCTTCCATAAACTTCAAGTCTTTGTAAGATGATTTATTCTTATAAACACTTTCTTGAATTTAATTTTGGGATGAGGCTTGAGTTATATCCCATTTGTTTGTCATCATCATAGAGTCTAGTCCATTATCAAGTCCTAATATCTTAGTTTGCATCTTTAGCCGCTTATGCTTAACTTTGGTCATCTTTAGACATTTAGTTTTTGTCTTTAAACATTAGTTATCATCATCAAAAGTTATTGTTTTTATTAAATGCATATCACCTGCAAAACAAGATTCAACAAGTGGAACTCATGATAAATAAGGTTGAAAATATTAGAATAAGGATATTTTCTAATTAGTTATTTTAGGAATAAAGAACTACAATCATAGGGGAAAGTAGAAAACATAAAGAACATGCATTAACATAATGCGAGACTTACGAATTTGTTCCTTGCTTAGTGGCATGTATTTGATGTGTAGACATACACCGTTAGATCACTCCCTTCCCCCCTTATTTTTTCTTCGTAGGGGCTGATTTAGAAGTCCCAATGATAGTTTAATTGAAATGGGGACGACATTCACTATGGTGCCTTTCACATTCTTTCTCCTTTTAACAACTCGCGTTTGAACGCCATGGGGATCATTGTGGGGCATAGGTTGGATCTCTCTACATCGGGCTTTGGCTTGAGCCAACCGGGCTTTCCTCTTGGACATTTTTACATTCATCATTTTCTTTACACAAACAAAAAAAAGAATGAAGTCAGGAATCAGGTATGGATGAGTTTAGAGGTAGGATCACATGAGAGTCACTAAACTAAGAAAATTGACCAATTTATCTATGTTGCCTTCATATTTGAGCAAGATTGCACACCCACGCATTTTGCAATTATTTCAAAAAGTTAACCATCTCCCTCTCAGTGGCACTCAATTTTTTTGGATCATATCCCATGATCAAAGAATGATCATTGGTCCAATAAATAGAGAATTAATATGTCTCATTTGCCTCCTAAATGACTTATGTGCACTGGGCATTGCCCCTTATCAGGAGGAATTTACATTTCCAGTCTTTATAATTCGATGTATAAGGGAGAGAATGGCCTGCTAGTGCATAGCATTCATTGAAACCTAACCTCCTTTATACACCCCTCGAGATTCATAAAGACAAAAAAAGAGAATGGTAGGCGTAATGTTGAGGCCCCAATAGATGACCTCAAACGCCCAAACAAAGGCCCAACTATTGGGATGAAGTTGAGAAGGGGTGACGTTCAAGGTTCTCAGAAGCTCGGATTGGAATATGGTGAAGGGAATACCCATGCCAAAATCTTCAATAACGCCACAGTAGAAATAGAAATACTCTTCGAGCAATCCAGGAGGCCGTCACATATAAAATTTCTTGCTCGAGGCACAAGGTTCCAAAATAATATCGTCCTCATCACCTGTATTGGATAACTCCAATTGGTCTCGGAAGTTCTTCACCCAATATTCATTGAGGCAAATCGAGTTGTAACTAAGAATCTCGTCATTAAAAGAGCTAGCAGAAAGCTCCATAATAATTTTTCCTAAACCTAAGAAAGAAGACATTGAGTCATTGTCGCTATTCGAAGAAGTGGTGTCAAATGTCATAGACCTCTCAGTTATGCTTTTTAGAAATAACTCTTCCACTTTCATAGCACTCACGAATTAGAACTATCGAAAGTGATTAGGTAAAGATTAAAGAGTAAAGAAATCAATCATCGTACCTTGATGGAAAATGAAAGAAGAAGGCCTTAAAGACGAAGAGTTTTGAAGCTTGTAGGCGTGGAGAGGTGTAGAGGGTCTGACATGTTCTCTGTAAAAGTTAAGGGATTGAGCAAGGAGAAAATCACTACTTAAACAAGATTTAGGGGACGCCAAATGTCTCTTATGAGTAAGATTAAAAACCCAATAGTATGGGACAATGATGATAACTGAGACGTTACAATTCCCAATTAAAGTAATCATGAGCTTTTGCGATAATTCTTGAGGTGCGGAAGCTCAAAGGTCCAATGGCTAACACATATCTCATTCGAATCGTCGTGTCCCCCACGAGGGCCACATTGATCGAAAACTAAACCAAAGGCTCTCACTAGATACGCCGACTTCATATCTAAGTTGTTCTCAATAATAAGGGAAAGAGGATTAGAGAACATATCCAAGTGACCAAGGAGTCTTGGATTTCTTGAGATCAACTTCATGCATGAAAGATCAACACTTAAAATTAAAGATTTTGTGTTTAACTGCTACAAAAAGGATTGCTACACACCAAAAATTTACCTTGTCATTGGTTAAGTTTTGTGGACAAAAATATAATTTGTTGATCTGCAACAACCACCCATAAAATGGCAACTTAGGAGGCCTAAGAAAAAAAAAGGAATAGAGGCTAGAGAAATAGTGAAACTAACTGAGTTTACACTACCAATTGAGTCTGCAGCACCATTCTTCTAAGACAATTCCAAAGAAGAAAAAAAGCTTCAAAAAGGATCAAAACTTGTTTCGAACCAATCATAATTGTGTTTACCTTTTGCGTACACCTTTTATAATAGTGTTTGTATACACCTTTTTGTAGTTATGTTTGGGTATAC